TAAAATTAAAAGAGAAAAAGGAATAATTCAGAAGTTAAATATTAATGATAAAAAATAAAATTAAAAGAGAAAAAGGAATAATTCAGAAGTTAAAAGCTTACTAAATAACTTATATTTATATAAGTTTACAAGCTCAGCCTTTTTAGACACAACTTGTCCTCGAAATGAAGTTGGTGCACGTGAAATCACCGAAAATTAGAGTGTAAAACAAATAGGAAGAACGAAAACGCGTTAACAGATGGTGGGAGGTTGTTGCAACAGAAGAATGGTCATAAATGGACGACATAAATGGACATTTAAATAGAGCATTTGAATACTTCGCTTCATATGACTGCAGTTTATACTAAAGACCTGGGCAGGGAACGTGTTAACGAGACTAATTTAGACTGTGGAACCGAGGCGTTCAGTAATGAGAAGGGGTAAGTTGGCTGTCATAATTCAGAGGTTCAGTAGCCTAGCATTGAGAGGAGTCCTTGAGTCAAATTAGTCAATGAGGAGAGGGGGGTATTACTAGTCTAGACTTTGAACCCAGGTACACAGTAATGAAAAAGGACAAGCGACGTGGTTAGGGGGCCACCGGAATGCAGGGGTCTGGCAGTCGAACCTCGATGGGTTCGTCCCCGATAAATCAACTAACAAAATAAAAATAGGCTGAGGTGTCCACATTTCGTTCCACAAAAGTTTTCTTAGCATCCACGTAAAATTAAATTAATGTTTTCACCCGAAAAATTAATGCAGTTTGCTTGACAGTTTATCAAGGAAGAAGTTTAATAAAGTAATTACTAGGTTAATGAGGAATTATTTAGCAAAGAAGATCTGCAATCGATAGACTGCGGACTTTTATGCATTTATGGCATTTACACATTTTTTCAACCGGTAAAAAACATGCATATTAAGAAACATTAATGACGACATTGCTATCTTATTTTCACGATAAGAAATTTTCCAATTGGCAAACTCAAGTTGTTCATCAATTTGGTTCTTATGAAACGATCTCTGAAAACTGGATTTCACATAAAGATCCACGGTCTAGTAATCATTATTTTTAAATCTTTGTTTGAAGGAAATCTATTTTTAAGTTTCATGTTTTACAAACGAGTCTATGAATTTAAAATTATATGGAAATATTGTTTACATGTCTGGTCTCGCGCGCGCGCGTTCGAAGAAGAATTAACAATCGACTAGTGTAAATTTACCTCTGCTCTGCTGAAGATATCCCCCGTGTAGATATGATGCCCCCCTTTGTGCTGAATTATCTCACATAAAGAAAGGTCATGCAGCGAGTCATCAAGCTTAATAGTCTATATTGAAGCATAAATGGCAGACACATTTGGGTAATAAGTCGGAACAATGCAACAATGTATCATCCGTGTTATTTCATTTTCACTCGACTTTTCTTCTTCTTTGTGTCCCAATAATTTTTATTTCGCGGTTCATTCTGCGAATTGCTTGGAAACCTTTTCATTTTCTTTTTTATTTATTTAAGCTAGAAACCGCTTACAAGGTTACCAACGCTATAAACATTGCTGTGCATAGAAATACAATCTATACACAAGATCGATAAAATATTTTTTGACATAATAGTATTTGTATATATATACAAAATAAAAAATAAAATAATATATTATGTATTATTATTTATTGTATATAAAGTAATATATATAAAATATATTATAATATAATTATAATACTTGATATCCTTGAATGACCTTGACATAACCTTACATATATGACATAAGACATAACCTTGATATATTATATATATTTATATGATATTTTATTACATGATTGCATAATACAAAAGTACGTAGATACGTAAGATTGAAAGAGTAACATGTGACATTGCGAACCTTTCGATATGAACCATTTTTCCTGTACATTCATAATCAAAAATTGTTTTCGTCAGTTATAATGGNCGTCAGTTATAATGGTTATCTGTAACGAATTAACATTCTCGTTGTCAATAATTGTTGTTCGTCTCAAACAAAATTTTCGTCATCTATAATGTTCATTTGTAAAAAAAAAAAAACAATTTTCGTCATTCATAATGGTTATTGTTAACCAAGAACTGTTTCCTTCATCTATAATAGTTATTGTTAACCAAAAACTATTTCCTTCATTTATAATGATTATTGCTAAGTACAGCACATAAAAACTCATGTTCTCTAATCATTGCATTTTTTAAAATCTCCTTTAAAATGTAATGATGACTAACTTTTTTTGAGAATACAATTCACTTTTCCATTGATAATTATTTCCTATCAAATTTTTGACATACATAGCTGTTATTTTTGGTCTGTGATTTTGATTTAATTTCTGTTTTTTGCAAATTAATACATGTTTTTTGCAGATTAATTCCTGTTTTTTGCACTTAATTTCTATCTGCGCAGACCAGTTTCATTTTACACAAAGATTTGCAGTCTACTCAAGAAGCTAGATCCCTCTCTGTTCGATAACTACCCTCAGAAAATCGTTTGCGAACCGTTGGAAGCAAGTTGTCTTAACCCCTTAACTTGTACGCTCGAGTTAATTCGAGCGCGCTAAACAGACCAAACTGTGCACACTCGAGATAATTCGTGCGGCGTTGTATTTTATGCTGCTATAATTTTTTACGCTCTAATATAATCGAGAATTGAAAATAACAATGTGAAAGCAAAGAAAAAGAATCGTTTTATTGATATTTATCATTTACATGGGATTGTAAGCTGTAACACTTATTTATTCAAGAATAAAATACAGCCTTTTTCCATGAAACAAAAGCGGAGTATATCAAAATTCTCCACCAAAAATTGATTTTTTTTGGCCGGTTATTTAAAAAAAAACTGTGCGTTAAGGGGTTAATTGAGCCACCATCCCCACGATCCTCTTCGCAACGAAGCATCCCCATCCCCGAGGTGGTTGACTGCTCGACGCGTTTCACCTTTCGCGAGAAGAAAGAGAATGACATGGGAATATATACCAAAATAACGAGTAAAACAGACAGCGAAGGAAAAACGAGAAGGCTCGTAAAAATGTTGGTCGAACGACGCGAAGACGGTGACACCGCGGGCCGTCTGAAAGGTTTAACGGCGCTTGGTGACGCGCCAGAAAGCATTTAAAGGGAGCAAGACACGCGACGGCGCCCGTTCGGCATCGCGAATCTGGCATCCGTCACGTAGCTAGGATGAATTCGAGAATAGGATCGATTCAACGTTCAATCATTGCAACAAGCGCACCTGGAGAAAAACGATGTCGCGTTGGCGCGTCTCCTGCGCTGCTGCAAACGCTCGCGTTAGTCACGAATCTTTGTCCTTAAATGGGACGTCATCGCAGCAGACTCATCTTTAGCTTCTTGTCTACGAAGTTCTGCAAGAGTGGCAAATCGAATTGGTAAAAGATACTTGGACAGAGTGGCGCAAAATGATCGTAGCTAATTTTTGTTACTGTCGTGCATAGTTTAGCATACTGGAGCTCAATTATTTCCAATGCGCGCTATTAACAATAGACATTCTGCTGGAAGCATCTCCCTCCATCGTCAATGATGATTAGACTCGGCAATAAGCGACATTGCTGCGGAATGATATTCATTATTAGAGATTTATGTGGAACACTATCTTCTGTAAGCTAAGTTACTTGCAGTTCTTGCAACAATAGTTGATGCAAGAGAAATGAGGAAGGGGTCGAACTTGTGTTACGACTAGATTTGGGTATATTTTATTCAAATTTTATATGAATTTTATTCAAACAATTTATCCGATATATTATACGAATAAAATTTTGTTCGAAGAAAAATATTACCCGAATTGAGTTTTATTCGAAGAAAAATTATACTTAATTAGGAATAACTTTTTAATTTGTATATTTATTCGGATGCGTAAAATGTTTCTTTCCTTAACAATTGTATTAACATACCTCTGAATGTACATCTAAATCTGCGAATGTACATATACATACATGTAGAACGTAAATAACTAAACGAAATCAATATCTCAATAAATTTTTAGTTCATTACATATCAAAATTGCTTTTTAATCAATTATTGCCTATTAATGTCATTATTCTGTCATGAGAAAGTTCCCAGTCAGATTATTTTGATAATTCTTTTCTTAATGATGGAACTTTTAAAATTATTAACGTGATATATCATATTTAATTATTGATTGCATACACAATGAGTTCTCATTTTTCAAAAGAAGCGTTAAACTATCCTCATCTGTCAGCCTCGATCAAACGATCGGCGAACTTCATGAACGGTTCGCCTTTTGTTTACAATCTCTTGGTGATTCGGTTAGGTTCAGGCGAGTATTTGGGGGTGTACGGGTTCGGAAGCTGTAAAGTGTCACAGCCGAGCAACGTGATCGCGCAAAATTCGGGTTCTCACTGTCAGCACGTAAATGTTAAAGGCAAAGGTAAAGGTAACCGCACCGGTTCGATTCAACCGCGATTAGAATTCGGAACGGTACCTCGGGGAAGTAATTAACTACGCCCGCGTCAGGATCCAAAATTCAGATGGTGAAGAACAATTGGAAGTTCCTTTGAAATTCTTTCACCAGAGATGACTTAACAGGAGCTCGTGCGTAGGCGAAAATACCAGATGGTATTAACACCACCCGCGTTATTAATTATGCAAAGTAAGAGTTCCACGCGGTGATTACACTCGACGCATACACTAGCAATCATAAGCGTTAGGACACTTGGTGAAATTTCATCGAGTGTCTATTAGTAGACTTTATGCGAAATAAAATGCATTAGTTGCAAGCAGCAGAAGCTACATAACAGAGTCTTCCTTTTTCAAATAATTGTTACAAGTACATATTGATATTCTTTAATTAAAAGAATCTTTCTTCCGTTTTAAATAACACTTAATCATTTTCCTGATGAATTCATAAAATCTGCAGTATACTTATTGGCATTATGTGAATATGACAAATAATTGTGTTATATTTGTGGCTATTAATGTAATTATTCAATTACAATTCATGTACTTAATAATCAAATCTTTGTTGTAATTCGTGTTTCAGGTACAAATGCAAGATCACCTGGCAAAACCTCTCCGACGGGGGTGATGGGGACCAGGGATAGGGGAGGTAGAACAATGAAGGACTATGAGGACCAGTTACAAGCTCTCCAAAAGGAAAATTTCAACCTAAAACTGCGGATTTATTTTCTCGAGGAACGCATGGGCATTACATCAGTTGATGGAAATGCAATAAAGAAGAATATTGAATTAAAGGTTCTTATTTTAAAAATCTTCTCTTTCGTTTGATCATGTTCAATTAGGGTATAAAATTCGTTGAGGCATAGGAAGATTATTCAGATAGTAGCAACTATTATGAAAGAATACGCTGATAGAAAAAAATCATTTGGAAGAATTTAGTAGATTTCAGAGAGAGAGAGAGAGAGAGAGAGAGAGAGAGAGAGAGAGAGAGAGAGAGAGAGAGAATTAATGAAATATAATATAAAAATATTTTCNGTATACTTATTGGCATTATGTGAATATGACAAATAATTGTGTTATATTTGTGGCTATTAATGTAATTATTCAATTACAATTCATGTACTTAATAATCAAATCTTTGTTGTAATTCGTGTTTCAGGTACAAATGCAAGATCACCTGGCAAAACCTCTCCGACGGGGGTGATGGGGACCAGGGATAGGGGAGGTAGAACAATGAAGGACTATGAGGACCAGTTACAAGCTCTCCAAAAGGAAAATTTCAACCTAAAACTGCGGATTTATTTTCTCGAGGAACGCATGGGCATTACATCAGTTGATGGAAATGCAATAAAGAAGAATATTGAATTAAAGGTTCTTATTTTAAAAATCTTCTCTTTCGTTTGATCATGTTCAATTAGGGTATAAAATTCGTTGAGGCATAGGAAGATTATTCAGATAGTAGCAACTATTATGAAAGAATACGCTGATAGAAAAAAATCATTTGGAAGAATTTAGTAGATTTCAGAGAGAGAGAGAGAGAGAGAGAGAGAGAGAGAGAGAGAATTAATGAAATATAATATAAAAATATTTTCGCTGTTAGGTTGAAAACGAGTCATTGAGGAAAGAATTGATTGAGAAGCAGGAACTTCTTAGTCAAGCAGCCAAAGCAATCCAGTTATTTGAAGAACAAAAAGAAGCATGCTCGCGGAACGAAGTTCAGTATCAGCAAACACTGGAGGCAGAGCGAGAGAAGATCCGAAAATTAGAGAAAGGTCTGTGGATTAGCATTTCAAAAAAAAACTATACGTAGTTCGATTTCTTGGTGTATATAATTTTATTCATTTTATGTTATCTGAAATTGTAACTAAAATACTTTGCTGATTTCATCCGTTGATTTATCTCCGTTTCCTGTCGTTGATTTACTCCCAGTACATTGACACGTTATGTTTTCTATTTGCAATAGATTTAGCGGAATACCAGGAAAGGGCGGATGCGTCGATATATTACAAGCAAGCATTCGGGATCACGTCGGAAAAGGCAGTGGACACTGAGGAGAAGTTACGGCAAATGGAAGAAGTTGTTGCGTCCCTGGAAGCTGAGGTAACAACATAATAATTGGTAATACAAAAAGTATAAAAGATATACAGAATTCGTTGTAATGAAAATCGATGAGATTTATGGCTAATAATATTCTAAAAATATTCTTGTCCAAAAAGATTTTATTTTTAAAAACTGTGTGAAAGAATAGAAATTAATAAGTAAATTCTGCACCACACAACCTACTTATTTTCCTCTTTATATAATATCAATTCAGACACTATCACTGCTCACTTCCTTTGACTACCGTGGAAAAACCGCAGTTGATAAGAAAGTGACTATCATAATTCAAAGAAAAAAGGTCAAGCAAACACTTTGTCTCCACTCGTAGCCGTGATCATTTTAGTGTCATATTTCGTTGTCAGAAGCCTGTCCACTTGCTTGTCATCGAATCGGCGAACAATAATAATGCAGTTCGTTTTTTATCGTAAACATTTTATTACATACAGTTTTGTTGAAGATTACTTCTAGTATAAGACAGTCTGATAATTACAGAATCAAATTGAAAAGTGTAACGAAAGTTCGAAATGATATAAAATGAAAAAAAGGTTTTAAAGTTTTTGAGTAAATTGAATTTAAAGCAATTCCATAGCAACCAATCTTCTTTGCTTTTTCTGTAGCCTTCTGTAGTCAACAATTCATTTTTCATAAAGGTATCGACTAAGTACCGATAATTACGAACATGAGATGCAGAACATTAAAGCTTTTTATAGCTTCGATACATTCAATGATTGTTTTATTTTTTAAAATTCACAGGTGGAACAGGTGACAAGTAGCTTGAACGAGGAACGTGGTTGGACACAAGAACTCGAGACCGAGAGGGATGAACTTAAAGAACGTTTGGAGGCTGAGATACGCGTGAGAGAAAACTTGGCTGCGGAAAGGGTGCAAGAGTCGGAGAGTCTACGGGAGAAGGTCAAAGAGTTGGAGGAAGAACTTCTGAAAAGGGAGGTCGACCTGCAACAGTCTAGAAACGACTTATCCGAGACGAAACGAGCGCAGAAGGAGCTAAAAACGCAGCTGGAGAACAAGTGTCAGGCGTTCGACGAGCTAAATGCGGTTACAGAGAAACGCAAGAAACAAATTGATCAGTTGAGGACATCGGTAAAAAGCAGAGACGATGCTCTGACGGACCTTAACAATAAACATCGCTCGTTGCTCTCTCAGGTAACGCATTGGTCTTTCTTGTTTGACACGATTGTTTGATTTTTAAACGGATTCTTAAACAAGTTTAACTATCGTAAGAAATATATCATTTTATTTTGGCGAATCTAGATATAATTGTTAATAATAGAGATAATTGTTAAAGTTGTAATTTATTTGCACATTCGTGTTACAATCTCTGCACACAATCACGTTATTCATAGATATGTGTGTACCCAAATATCTATGGATAACAGCTCTCCATGACACGAAGATATATGAATAATGATTCGATGCATTCAATTGGGTGTCCCATGACTTTTAACCATAGTCCAATCGATTTTGATTGCAGCTCGAGAATGGCTACATCAAACGTTTGTTACCCAGCAATTCGACGGGAATGAATTTAATTGACGAACCATTACAGAGAGATCTAGTGCAGGTTTGTGTTACTTATAATTCTTCTGTTGCCACTGTGCTACTAGTTGTTATAAAAATTGCGGTGATCTTTTTGTAAAGCAATGATTTCGGCATGTGCGGTACGGTTTAATTTCTCAGAATCTTTGATTTTATAAAGAAAAAATTTCGATTACATTTCAAATATTGAAAGGAACGAATTCCATATTCGTCTTTAGGTCATAGTTTGTTCCAGTATAATCATTTTATATTATTTGAATGTGATATAATTATGAAATTAATCTGACACGCTTTTTTGTTTGCTTTCTTATAGGAGATAGATGAAAAAGATATTGAGATAAAGCAACTAGAAGAAAAGAGCAAGCAACTTGTGCTGAAACTGTGCAACATGCAAAAGCATTCGGAGACTGTGGAGTACAAGTTGAAGAAGTTAGAGATCGATCATGAGAAGGCGATTAAGACCATTCAAGGATTCATGGAGAGGCATCAACAGCTGGAGAGCAGTAAGCTATTAAAGGAACAAAAGATCATGCAATTGGAAATTGAATTACACCAGCTACGGGAAGGCGAGAAGTCGAATGCGGAAAGGGACAGAAGACACGAGCGTACTTCCAGCAATCAGGTGGACATATCACAGGTTTTCTACTCTGCATCATTGTCTTTGTGTTTCTGAATATGCCTATTGTAACTAGAATTGCTTCAAAACTGTTTGCCGTTCTACAAAGCACAGAGTATATACTAGAGAAGTATTTGCATACTTTGAATTATTTTGAGAATTCAGAAACGCAAAGATTCAATCTTTGTATCTTTGCAATGCGTTGTAGATAGAATGATAGCGAAGTCATGAAAGTGCTTAGATTATTATCAAACGTTTCTCTTTCTTTCAGAGACACTGAACTCACCTAACATCTACTTCTACTTCTGCTTTTCTGCTTTATTGACAACATCACTCTTACTGCATGACACCCATCGCTTTTGGGGTACCGTTCACTGCTTTTTTTTTAATATCTTGACAACGCACAAAACTATTGCGACGACAATTCTACATTTGGTGTATACTGATATAGTAAAAACGTATCAGCTTAATTTCATAATCAAAAACATGAGTTATGCTGGGACAAACTATGATCTAAAGTCGAGTATGGAATTCATTTCTTTCAGTATTTGAATCCATTACTTTTAAACAGCGTTCAGTTCCTCTTCCTCCAATGCTTGACACTTGTTTTCTTAGATCCTTCTGCACACGTTTCGTCTCGGATAGGTCATTTCTAGACTGTTGCACAGCCGACCTTCCTTTTCAGAAGCCCTTTCTCCAGTTCTTTGATCTTCTCCTGTAGATTATTCGCCCCTTGTACCCTCTCCGCAGCCATATAGTTCTCCGAGTTCATTTTTCTCAGTTGTACATGTTATTGTACATATGGAAATCATTGTTCTACAAAGTGGCACAATGATAGCGGAAGAATTATAAGTGATACAATTCTGTTCTAGATCTTTTATAGATTTGATCTCGCCATTGAGAGCGTCGTCTACCGTCTACACTTTTACGAACTCGACTTTTGACCGTTGTTTGTCTTCAACCTTCTTTTTTTATTGTTTAAATTATTTTCATTTTTGACAATTCTATTAACTTCGATCATGTTTCTTTCATTTTTATTACTTTCTGTATTCCGTTCAATTCGGAGAAACATTATGCAACTTCTTTTTTCATTTTACCATTGTTAACAAATAACAAATTTTTGCGTGTATATTTCTGCACGGATTTTAAATGTTGATGCATGCATGGAAAACGTTCTCGTGCGTATATACAGTTATTAGTTATATATGTGAAGGGAGGAGGGAGAGAGCAACTTAGGATATTATATTTATCTTAATTTATGTACATACATATATAATTAACAGTAAATACGATTTTAGTTGTGGAAGCTCTCTGTCGATCCTACATATATAACCGTTCCTGTACATTGTTTTATGGAATCACACAATTTACAATTCTCCAACAACTAGTAATTCTACACATTTAACCACAAAACACCTTCTCCAATCTTCCAGTACACATCTAAATAAACGTTCAACTGAATAATCGAAGATTGACGAGGTAATCAGTAATCTGTTGTTGAAGTTTATACTGAATAAATGTATGATTCATGTTGCATTTATGAATTGTCTGATTGTCTAATTTTGCTCGAGTCTTAGTAATCAACGAGTACTTTAGCCAAGTTTTATAGAACTGTTACAAGGGGTCGAGGACAATTTCAGACTCAGATAAGCCTGCCTTGTAGACCAAACTATATATAATCTAGTCGGGTTCTAGCCCAGGTTTCCAGGTTCTTGTAGCCTGAGTTTTTGCTGTGATATTAATTCTTTTACTATTAGATGAATAGCACACCTTCAAATTTTAATTCACTTTTCTGTTACTACGCTAAATTCCTAATATTATTCGCCTTTATATTAATTTTGAAAAGATTTCATTTTAAGGCGAAAGAGGTCAACAATTACTTCGTCTATATGTATTATATATTAATTCCATATATTTATTTATCACTGGAAGCATCAACTTACTTTCCCATACATAATTAAACCAAATTCTATTTATGAAATGCAAAGTAGTCAATACCCTCTTGATCAGCGTCTCCATGCTGCTTAAGAATACCGGCTTCCTTGGCGCACAAGTCCGCGAAATTGACTTTCATTGCCTGAAAGAAGGAAGTGCTGCATTATTCCTTAAACAGAGGCACTCCGAGTGTCAATAGCCTTCGGACTGGAAAAGACCATGGGCCCGGTAGCCGTCGACGACCGTCGTTAAAATCGGCCCACACGAAAATTCCGTTCTAAACGAGCTCGAATTGCCGATGTCGAACGCTTAATAAAATCGAATAAAGACGGGCTCGGCTCGTTAGGGATCGAGCTGTCGAGCGATTTTCGTGGAAGACCGAGAGCACCAGCGGCATCGTATCTCCGCGAGATACCAAACCGAAGACATGCCTTTCGTCTAATAATAGAGACAGTCTGCTCGCGAAGTCTACGCGATCCGTTCTCGGCAGTCTTCGCACGAAAATCCACCTCGACCGTATCAACCACCGTGGTTTCCTCCACGACGAACGACAATAACAAAAGAAACATAAAGAAACGACTAAACTTCGGTCAACGAATCCTGAACTAGGAGAAATCGAGCGCTTATCGAGATGTTATTTTAATTATTTCTCTCACTTTCTCGACTTGAAACGACTTCCTTCGATATTATTTGAAAGAAAGGTGCGACGCTTTTACTATTTGCAAAAGTAATTTGTCCAACGAAGAAAACGACCCCGACGAGATTTCTACACGGAACACGTGCGACTCTTTCACCGAGTCACAGCAGCGAAGAGCGACGATTCTTCGTGATCTCCCCTGTTCGTTGAGAGCTGGAGAATTCGGAGATTAAACCGAAGAGAAACGTCGCTTTTGTGCTTCCAAAGGGTATTCGCCAGTGCTAATTGTTCCGTAGCATTCGCGCAGAGTACCGAATAAGATTGATTTTCATTCGTTGGATCGAACGGATAACGAAAAATCGATAACAATGTTCTCCTGTTTGTGCGCTTCGGTGAGAATGGAGGTAGGTGTTGATGCAACGAGTGTTTCGTTTTCAAGGTTTTGGAAAATCCGACCGCGTTTCGTAATTTCCGGTATAATAGAAATGATAGTGTTTTTTCTTTTTTGTTTAAATCATTCGGCGAAGAACCAGTCGTTATGTACAGCCTGACACGTTTGTTTCGAAAGATTAATGGAAATGTGAAAATTATTTATAAATTAAAAAGATTAGTTTGCTTCATTTACTTCAAAATTCATTCGAGTATTTATACTTAGTTAGCGAAACTTTAATTTTAGTAAATGTTTTATTTTGCATATCTTTTTGAATGGGTGTTAAGTACAAAAAGACAATGTTATTTTTTTTTAAGTTTTGTTTAAGACTTTATTAAGTAATAACTCTGAAGTTAAGAAATTAATTAAATTGTGAAATTTTAACTACAATTACTGATTACACCTCTCTGTCTATCGATGAACATAATCTCGATCATTTTCCTACACGAAAGTGAAGTAAAATTTCTGATTCTAAACACATGGTGCAATACTATACACAAATTGATAAGAGAAGTTCAATATCTCATCTGTCGAATGAAACTTTTAATAAGTCAACATATTTAGGTATACGTTAATTATTGAACATCACACGAATAAATTACTGGTACATTTAAATATCTGTCCCATGAGATCATTTAAATTTTTATATGTGTATAAAAAAGAAGGTGATATTTCACTAAGAATTCACTATCATAAGTATGAAAAGTAAAGATATTATGAGCAATCTAATAATGATACTACATTACATACTACAATTTCTCACTTAGTATTTGACAACTTTAGTGATTTCATTTATGGTACCGACTTACTCGGACGATAATCCATCACTTACTAAATTTCACTGTTAATGAGCCTGCTATCAAGGTAGGTC